ATATTGCTTACCAAGAAAATAATTAGGGAACGTCAAACAGACAAAAACCCAAAACAAAAGAATAATAAATGTACTAAAATTCAAGAAACTATTACATAAATTCACACCTTCAAGAAAGTTAACTTTTTTTTTTTCGACCAAATGATAAATTCTAAAATTTTCTCTCTGAAATCTGTATTACTCATTGGTAATTCAAAAGACGAATATTAATCCAATCTTCATATATACACAGACAGTAAACAAAAGTCTTATCTTACATGAAGATGAATAATTTTAATGCAAACCCTGGTAAAAATTTGAAGAAAAAAGCAAGCAGTGTACACCATGGTATCACAAATATAACTATTTACCCTATTATTTGGAGGGTTGTAGGGTAAATTTTACTAATAAGATTTCTTAAGCATCTGTTCCTTTTCGTGATCATCAGATCGAATTCAACCAACATATATATTCACAGACACATACATATATGTGTGTGTCTGTAATGCTCAATTTGAACAATGATCGACAATATTTTTCATGATCTGTACCTGGGTTCTAAGACATTTTATGTAATGAGCAGTTTCATTCAACAATCTGCAAAATTCCATATCTTCACCACCTGGTATAAGCTTCCTGAGAACATTATCCTGATGAAAATTTATGTCATTCCTAGGGTTTTCGCTTGCTTTTCTTCTTCTTAAAGCATGAAATCTGCTTTTTTTCTTTATCCTCCATAGTACGGATCGACTCCAAGCTCTTTTCGACCCGACTGCAGAAGCCATGGATGCATAGGATGCAACTCTAATCATATGATATCTCCTGTTGGTCTCCTTCATGGATGATGAAACACCTCTGCTTTTGTTCAGTTTCTTCAGGGCTCGAACGAACCTGTAAGTAAACCTAGATTTGATTGAATTAGGGTTCGAGGGCATGATCTGAGTAGTCATGGAGGGCAAAGAGTAGTGAATTTGAAGAAAAATATAGGGTTTTGAGAGTAGGGTTTGTTCTTCGCTGCTAAAGGCTAAATCTTTTTGGCAAATGAATGGAGAGGGATACAAGAAAAGATTTTCTTCTGACACAAAGGGGCCTCCTTGTTCAGAAGGACAAAAGAAAACCTCAGTTCAATTCAGACTTCTGACACCCAAGATCTACTTATAATTAAAAAGAGACTGTGAGAGAGAGGGAGAGTTATCAAGAAGAACGTGTGAAGGGAATGAAGAAAAGAAGAATATTAGGAAGAGAAAGGATTGAAAATGGGAGGTGAGAAGGAGACTTGAGAATCAATCTTTTAATTTTGTGAACTTAATTTAATTTAATTATAATTAATTACTGTGTATTTTCATCTTTCATTTTCAAAGCTTTGAGCTTAGGGATGAAAAGAGAGTTTAGTGGAGTTGGATAAGGGCCAACTACCATATGATCGCACATGGTTCCATTGCCCACTTGAAAATTTATGGGACCTACATTTTTCAATATTTTTCGACGGATATTTTGGCATTGGGGATGAAAATTCCTGTCACAAATTCCATAGAAGTGACATTGAGAAGATGTTCCTTAAACACTATAATTAATCAGATTTCAACTTTCTTGCAACTGATTATTAGTCTTGACTTTAACAGGAAATTACTTAATTGATATAAGTATTTCCACAATAGCAGGTAAAATAATCAGTGTTTTTTTTCTTAAAGTAAATCATCCACTTGAAGAAATTTGACTTTATTTCGCATAATCTAGGAGTTGGCTTTATTTATGCAATTTTTGAGCATATTATAATCACTGAGTTTCAAGTGAAAACAAAAATCCGATACTATTAACTGAACAAATTTATGTCACATAAATTGTTGCACGAGAAATTAAATTAAAACGAACTTCATTTTGTGAAAGATTTTCTTTAAATTTATATATAAGTACTAATATATATATAGCACTCGTTTGATCTCAATTATAGCTAAAATACATTTTTCTATATTTTATTCTCAACCACACATTCTTTAATAAAATAATATTACACGTAAATTTAAAATCTTTTCTTATTGTTTAACCACATATTCTCTATCAAATCACTATCCTAAAATGCATTTTCTTATCAAGACCTTATTAATTAATTATACATTTTAGAAAAATCGATCTGTAATTTGTACTAATTTGTAGGTGGAGGACCACTGCTCTTTGACTCTTGTAGCTACGTACCTTATGATTAACCACCATAGTTCAGTATAATTATTCCATTTTCTATGTATAAAATAATCTAATGTGATATATGCTTGTTGTACTATTCTTGTAATTAGGGCTATAAATAGCTCGAGCCTGATTCATCGTTGGCTCACAAGGGTGCATTACAGTACTCTCAAACTTGTTGAGAGTTAAAAAAAGTTAAACTTGCACATTAATTTTGTCAATAATCGAGTAATACTTGATATAAAACTCGACGAGATTATACGTTCAACTATATATTCCACTCAAAACCAATGATAAGCCATCAAATGACAGACCATGCATGAAGCCAAAAGAATTAAAAATCTTAAACAACCCATTAATTTAACATAAGAGTGTATCTTCCTCGAAGCAACAAATCTCCACCTCACGCACATTCTTGAAGAGGAAGCCTTCAATGGCAAAAGAGGAACATGGTGGGTCCACCATTCTTGCTTAGAGGATAATGTGACATATACATACAGATATTTCATATATAAATGCATGCTTTAAAATTAAGACTCCTTAACTAATTTCATGATTAGGGTTCCATTTATATAATCAAGATTCACATGCATGCTTGCTTCTTTAAATTCATTTGTTATTAGAACCACTAAAAATTGTCTTGTGACTCAGCAACAGGTGTAATCCTTAATTAATATGCACTAAACAAATCATTTATATAGCATTAAGTTCTTTTGATTTGCCTTAGGGTCGAGCTGTCATGCACCCTGTATTCATGGACAAACATTTGATAACGTTTAGCCCTTGTATGGTATAACTTGAAATTTCGATACAACCCCAATTAAAATCTACTAAAAGTCTAAATTTTAGTTACACGAAACAAGGGCCTAGTAAATTTGTGATGATTATTCAATACTATAAAAGGTGAAAAATGTTTTGACTTCAAACCTCACCTCTATGTATTCACAAAAATTTCACTAGTAAGCTCAATAGAAAAACGAACTCATGTTTAATTTTAATTGATTATCAATTATATATGGTTGTAATGGTAATTGTTTTTAGTGTGTGTTAACATAATCACGCTCTAATTGCAAAGAAGGTTCTTTTGCTCATTTTTGTACCTGTATCAAGAAATATATTTCGTCATTTTTTTTATCTCAATCTTCTATCAATTAGCACATATGAAAAATGTACAAAGCTTTGCTTAAATAGACGAATTAAGTTCCTAATACTAATTAGTAAAGTGTTAAAAAAAATTCTAATCAAGAAAGAAGGAAAAGAAATAAAATTCTATTATAACAAGAAATCGTATTTAGCCGTTGTTTGGTTTGGCTAAAAATTCATATTTATATATAATTTTTATGAAAGTTGATGAAATATGTGATTGAAAAGTTTATAAAACATGTAGATCCCAAAAAAATGTGTAGTTTTCTTTGCAAGTTATGAGCAAAAGGTAGAACAAAGGAAACTTAAAGCAAAAGGGTATTTTGTGCCATGAAATTTTGACCAAGGAAAAATCTCTATTATGAAAGTTGCAAAAGAAGATTACTCCTTTTCTGTTTTCAGAAAATTTCCACTAAATAAATCATTACATGTAAAATATTTGATTTTATTTCTATCTTTCTACTTAAACTTTTCTTTTACATCAATTGAGTACAATTGCATTAAGCGTGCTACGTTAATGAGAAATTCTGATGATTAATCACAGTCAGAGATTTAAGATATTTTAAAGTTTGTTATGTAACAAAGTTCATCTTTCATATATACCTTTTTTTAAACAAGGAATGTCCCAGCCTTTTAAATTTATAGCAAGTTGGTCTTAAAGGATGATTCCATCAATTTGAATGTTAGAAAGTTAGGTGTGTTTTAAAAGTGATTATATGCTTATTTTCAACAAATAGAAATAAGTAAATTTGATAAAGAAGAAAAAAATGGTCCCCAACATTTTCTTTTTCACGTGAATCGTATCAACCTCTACCTAAGAGTCAAGAATTGTGTATTCTATCCAAACTATCCAACGCTATATACCGAACATGTACTTAAGTGGATTTGTCTCGTTGAACTCGACTATTATAACTTTTAAGCACGCGTGCTAACTGCTAACAACTAAAAATTGCAATAAACATCAAATTTATGAGCAAAGGTGTACATCCTCTCAATCCAAATACTGTTTTATGACTATTCACACATGCTGCAATTGCTTCTGCAAAACTGCACTAAAAAATCATCTATTCTACAAACTCAAGTACACTGTAATGACCAAAAATTCATTAAGAATCAGCAGATGAAACTTTTGGCTAAAGTTACTTAAAGTTCCACTTATCATTATTTAACGCTGTTATCATCTGTTGATGATTCTGAAGCCGTATCGTCTGTAGTCGAGTTCGAGGTCGTATCTAAAATGCTTCCACTCTCACTATCTGAAGATCCACAGGACCTCTCTTCCAGAGGTTGTTTTAAGATCCAATACATAATACTTGCTGTCAATGTTAGGATCATCTTCTGGTTTGCCTGATGAGAAAATTATCCGCATTAAATGAATGAATTCCAATGAAACAAAAGGCAGAGTTTCATAAAGTACATAACCGAATAAGTAAAATTTACCTCGATTATATCTTCGGGAAGCAAAAATATCGAACATCCAAGCTTCCTTGCTATACTGATGATGTAGGTTGCATTCATTTTTTTCTCCTCGTCTACATT